CTGGGCTGGGCTGGGCTGGGCCGGGGGGCTGGGCTGGGCTGCATTTCAACTAACCATCCAGATCCAGGCGTGGGCGCAAACCTTGAACCCGAAACCCTTGTCGCAGCAGAAATCTACGCTCTACAAACCAGCGTGTCCAACTAGCATCCTGATGTTGCCTGCAGTTAGACGGACAAAATCGCTGCTTGCATCTGGTTCCGTAAGCTTGGATGGCAGTTCCGTGTTCCTGTTCGTCCTGTCAACAAGGACAAGCAATTTCTATTTATCGTTCTCTTGAGGGTTTAGGGTTTAGGGTTTAGGGTTTAGGGCTTAGGGCTTAGGGTTTAGGGTTGATTGAAAACCGCCTCAGCCTCAACTTTGAATTAGGGCTTATCGGGTTTAGGCTTCAACTTTGGGTTTAGGGTTTAGGCTTCGACTTTGAATTCGGAGCCCCCGCAAAAAAGGCTAGGGTCAGGTTTTAGGGTCAGTTGAACTTTGAGATCCGAGCCCAAAAGCAATGGTGTAGGGCTTAGGGTTTAGGGTCCTCAACGGAATCCTCCTAAACCCGAAGCCCTAAACCCCAAACCCGAAACCCCAAACCCTAAACCCTAAACCCTAAACCCCAAACCCTAAACCCTAAACTCTAAAGCTTAAACCCCAAACCCTAAACCCTAAACCCTACACCCTGAAGCCGAACGGGGCTTCTGCATCTTTGCTGCTTTTTGGGCTCCTCAGCGCCGCCGCCGCGTGCGCCACCAGTCCGAACCCTCAGAGATCTTTTTGGGATGGGTAGATATAGGCTTAGGGTTTAGGGTTTAGGGTTTAGGGTTTAGGGTTTTGGCATAGGGCAGAGGGTATGGGGTTCAGGGGTTTAGGGTATGAGACTTCAGCAGGAACCTTTCGACACTTCGTGATGAAGTCTTCAGGCTTGGCTTCCCCTCTGCGGCTTGGAGTGCCGGACATAGCGGCGGCACCGTTCATGTTCCACAATCAGGTTTTGGGTGGTACAAAAGCCACAATAAGCCAACAATGGCATATCCTTGCAGCTTAGTTGCCAGGGGCCAGACCTCGTACGACCTTCATCTGAAGATTGAAACAGGCAGTTCTCGGAGTGGATCTGATAGTTTTCCCTCAGGATCATAAGTTTTGGTAAAACCAGAGCCACACAAATTCTTAGGGTTCGGCCTGGAGCCCATAAGCTGCTTAGAGCTTCGGGTACACCGGTCTACGGCTCAAGCCATCCGTGAAAGCGCGTCTCGTTTCAAGTCCTGCCTAAACCGCGCCATGTCGTTCCGGGGTGTTGGCTCTCGCTCTGCCGGCCTTGGCAATGATGCTTGCAGGCTGTGGCTGTGAACGTGAATCCATTGGCAATTGCACCGTCGAGAAGCTCTCCCAGTCGAACGAGATTTGCGGTGCGTCAGGCTACAGCAAAGTCATGAGTGGCGACACAACTGTGGCAGACTGCTGCGCGGCGATCAAAGCTGTGCAGGATTGCTACACGGTTTGCTCCTGTGACACGGAATGCGCAGTTCAAGACACGGCCACCGCCTGCCCAGCAACTGGGACACTAAAGGATCCCATTGGTTTTTGGCAGTCGATCCTTGAAGGTCTGAGCAAAGACGGTGAGACCTGCGCCACGGCGGGCGTAACAGGCACGAAGTGCTGAGAAGTGTTTCAGTGATGCTTCAACAAGAAAGCTTGGCCAGAAGGGAAGGTGTGCAAGATAGGGACTTGCAGAATTCAATTGATGTTGCTTAAGGGTTTTGGCCGAACATTCTGTTTTTCTGGCGCATGGTAAAGTCAGACAGATTGCGCATGCACGTGAACACTACGTGCCGCCTGATTGCTGTCCACCTGGAGGGTAGCCCTTCTCCTGATGCTGTGGGATTCCAGGCTGTGGGTATCTGCTTCACACTTACATAGGAGTCCCACTGACATTATGTATCGGCCGTGTCAAAGTCCCGATATGTTCCCATCCCTACCCCAGAGCTTGGCCGCCTTTGCCGACGGAGGAGAGTCAGCAACAAAGCTTTGACCGGAGGAAAAGCTGGGCATGCTTGCCCCAGCACCAAAGCCTAAGACTAAACTGCACCCGACACGAATTTTACCCAACCTGCCACAGGCCCACAGCGTATAACCCGACATACCCGAAGCCCAAGACTTAAATCCGCCCAAACCCAAACCTCGAACTCGAAACCAGAAGCCTTAAACCTGAAACCCTGAACCTAAAGCCTAAACCCGGAACCCAAAGCCCCAAACCCTTGAGCCCTAGCAGCCATCGATTGAGGCTTTCGAGAAAGCCTGTGCCCCTGACCGCTACGATGCTGGCAACTCTGCTCCGTGCGCGGAGCATGCGCGCCACAGGACTGATTCGGGATCATAAAGTTTTTGTCGATTCATCACAAAAATCGAGGCCCCGTTACCCTCAGCGAAGTCCGAAACCCTGCAAATGATCTTCTCCTTGGAGTCGAAGGAGTGATGGCCTCGATGCGCTCATACGGGTGCGGCTCTCGGGGAGTTGGCCCACTAAATCCTACACCTTAACCCTCAATCCTAAACCCTAAACCCTACCTAAAGGCCCAAGAGGGACTTAATAAGTAAAGTTTATAAGTATAAGGCTATATTCAGGCTAACCCCACTTGGGGACCTAGAACCCAATCATAACCCCAAACCCTAAACCCTCATCCCTAAACCCTAAGCCCTAAACCTAACCTGAGCCCTGGCCCTGAGCTTACTTATTTAGGCTTCTGTAGGGGCCTGGGGGCAGGGGCTTGCTTAGGGTGTCTGCGCTGATGAATCCTTTCAGGATCCTGGCTCAAGTTCTCAACCCAAGCCTCAAGAGGGTTTCGGGTTGGGTTTGGGTTTAGGGTTTAGAGTTTAGGGTTTGGGGTTTGGGGTTTGGGGTTTGGGATTTAGGGTTTAGGGTAGCCCTAAATCTGAAAGCCTAAACCTCAGACCCTACACCCTAGAGGAGACATAGTGCCAAATTGCCCCAGCCCAAACCCACAACCTGCGTAGAACTTTCACAGAACCCTTCTAGAACCCCTTGTAGAACCTCCACAGGACACTGCATCTACCAGTAGCAAGCGTAGTATAGCCCCCAACTCTGTTCAAACCATGCAGTAATGCCCCTAACCCCCCAAAACGGAAGCCCAAACCCTAGACCCTAAACCCCAAACCTGAAACCCAATCCCTAAACCCTAAACCCCGAAAACCGAAACCCAATCCCTAGACCCTAAAGCCCAAACCCAAACCCTTAAAGGAATCCTCTTGAGGAGCCCCTGCAAGGAACCCTTTCAAGGAATCTGATACAAGAACCCGTCAAAGGAGCCCCTGAAGGAAGAAGCCCTCTAAAGGAAAGGAATCCAGTGCCGTCGCTTAGGACCTCCTGGTTTAGGGTTTAGGGTTTAGGGGTTTAGGGTTTAGGGTTTAGGGTTGAGGTAGTAACCCTTACGGGAGCCCGTAAAGGAATCCTGACCCTCAAAGGAACCTAAGCCCTAGATAAATCCCAAAACGCATCCTTTGGAACCCCTAAACCCTAAACCCTAAACCCTAAACCCTAAACCCTCAACCCTAAACCCTAAACCCTAAACCCTAAACCCATTGCTGAGGACCTCGCTCCCCATCCCCACCCCGCCTTCGGGGACGGGGCGCGAGCAGTTTCACGCGCGGATGATGCTTCCGCAGCTGGGGCTAGAAAGGGTGTTGGGGTTTAGGGTTTAGGGTTTAGGGTTTAGGGTTTATGGTTTAGGGTTTAGGGGGCAGTGTCCGAAAGCATAGGGCCTTGGTGGATTGTAAGGGTTTACGAATGGGTGAGGGAGGGTGTCAGGGTCTAGGGTTTGGGATCGGGTCTAGGGTTTGGGATTCAGGTTTTAGGGGTTCAGGAACTTGGGGCAGGGGAATCCGTACATCAAAGTTTTTTACCCTATAGGATCCTCAGTACAGGGGTTCAGGGTTTGGTTCAAGGTATATGGCTTATTCCCTGGAACCCTAAACCCTAAACCCTAAACCCTGAACCCCAAAGCCTAAACCGCTCTGGCATGGGCTTATGATGCTGGCTGGGGGAGCCTTGGGGCTGTGGGGACCTTTTGGGGTTTCCTCTGGGTTTAGGGTTTAGGAGTTTAGGGTTTAGGGTTTAGATTATAGGGTTTTTGGTTTAGGGTTTGGGGTTTAGCTTAGAGGGTTGAGGGTTGCGGGTTTAGCTTATAGGGTTTAGGGTTTTAGGATGCTGCACTTGGTAAACTTTTTTCCAGGATCCCCAGACGCCAATCAATCCTCACTCTTCCGGAAGCCTAGGCAGAGAAGGTGGGCTAGAGTGCATACAGACCCTTGTAAAGCCCCACAAATCCCAAAAAACCCGTAGCAAGTCCTAAAGCTTTGAAGCCAAAACCGCTTGACTCCCAAGACATATATACTCCTTGAACAAATCCTAAACCCGAACCCCCCAAAAAATCCCAGGAAATACTCCTTGAGCAACCAGAAATGGTTCTTCCTCTTTGGCGCCTGCAACGCCGGGGCTTACGCAGGCGTGGTATCTCGGGTGGCCAGAGATCGCAGTGTTTAGGATTTCGGGTTTAGGATTTAGGGGGTTCAGAGTTCAGGGTTTAGGGTTTGTCAGGCGAGGGGGCGCACCCTAAAGCTTTATATCCGAGCCCTTTGTGACCCAAAATCCAAGATCCAAGACCCAAAATCCAAAACACACATCCCTAAATCCCAAATCCTAAATCCAGAATCCAAAACCCCAAACCCAATATCCTACATCCTAAGCGCCCCCCCCCCCAGCATCTGCAAATCTAGCAAAACCAGGAGGCCTTCGAAATGGCTTTCGGAAAAGGAGCGGGCACGACAAATTTGAAGATTTGGTGGGGTTCCCTCCATTTCAACGGCTCGCGACGGCCGGAGAATCCTAAGCCCAAAACCCAAAATCCAAAACCCCAAATCCCAAATCCGAAATCCCACATCCTAAGCGGCCCCCATCAGCCGGAAATCTTCTCAACTTTTTGAATACCCAAGTGGTCTCGGACAACGAAAGTTTGCTACTTCGACCTTTAAACCCCGAGACGACTGCCTGCAGCGGGACCCAGGCCAAAACCGTGATATTTCGACGTTTAAAACTTCGAGACCACTGCCGGCAGCGGGAGCCGCGGGAGGTTTAAAGCTTCGAGACCGCTGCCGGCAGCGTGGCTCAGGCCGAAAACTCTCGCTAGGTCGATGGCAGCGGGAGCCCCAGGCGGAAAGCTTGCTACTTCGAGGTTTACAACCTCCAGAAAATTTTTTATGACCTCAAGAGCACTGCCGGAAGTGGGAAAGCTTGATACGTCGACGCTGAGACCGAAATTCCAGATTTTTTGAACTCCAAAGTTGCTTCCGGAGCTACCACGATGTCTCGGCGTTCGACTGTAACTGTCTTTCCTGCGTGGAGTGGAGGCTGTGTTCGTGCTGCAGGTCTTGGCGCGGCCCCGTCCGTAGGCGAGACGCCCGGCCTACCCCACATGGGTTCTCCCATATGCAGCGTGTTACTGTTGTCGATGTTTTGCACTTTCATGCTCAACAACCTGCGATGTCGCATATTTATGACATCGTACCAACAAGTTCACAAGGATTGTCCACGGCGGTTGATCGGATGGCTGGTAGCACGCGGGTTCGAGATCTCCTGGTTCTTTACACAACCATCCAATTTGTGCCATCAAACACCTGCACGCAAATTATGTTGCATCCTTCGGCTACAACTTAACTTCCCCGCGATGTAAGGCCGATCCGAATCTCGGCATGTGGATCGTATAGCTTGCGATTGGGTTTTATGTCTTTGCATGATAAAGAAAAGTTCAGGAACAAATAAAACTGAATACGCTACGATCCTCGGGTGGCTCGGGCGGGCAGCAAGCAGCCGCACGTCAGGCTTGGCACATCCTAAACCCCCAAAATCCCCAAAATCCGAAATCTTAAACCGCAAGCCTTATAAGTCCTACGGTAAAGGGTCGTTGAGCCTTAATTAAATCCTAAAGTCCTAAGCTGTAAATCCTAAAATCCTAGACCTTAAAATCCTAAAATCCTACCGCACCTCGAGGCATTGGTGCACGATTTGGGGTTGAAGTTTAGCTACACGACAAGTTGCCTTTATACGGCGAGCCCTTGATTGAGTTCGGACGTTGTCGTAAGCAGGGCCAGATTCGTTGGCCTGTCCAGGACACACGGCGAGGCTTAACCCTCGCCTTGCCGTTTCTTTTTTCGTCTGAGCGGCCAAGCGTCCGGGGTCTGTCGCTCGACGTCAGTGACCCCTCTTTTAGTTTAGGGTTTGGGGTTCTGGTTTAAGGTTTAGGGTTCACGTTTATTACCTTAAAACTATCCCGAACGTACTTGTTTGTAAGCTCTTATTCTAAACCCTCAAAAACATGGGAACCCTACAACAAAGTAGGGTTTTGGTAGGTGAAGGTAAAGTCCATAGGGCACAGAGCCACAGAGCCGAAGCCTCGTTCTTCCTAGACCCCCTAAAGCCTGAGCCTTCAACCGTATCAGTGAACCCTAAACTCTGAACCCTAAACCCTGAACCTGAAAACCCTGAGCCTTAAATCCTAAACCCTAAATTGTGAGCCCGAAAAGGCCGCATGGTTTTCGGTTGGGGGTTCAATGGCTCAATTCGTTTAGGGCTTGCGGATTTCATGGTTT